AGACAATAAGGTCTAGTGATTTTTGTTTCATAAATCCGATAATCTTGAGATTCATGTTAATAAGATTATTGAGTTAGATATCGTAGAGTTATTTGAAACACATTTATCCGTATAAAAATGAATGTGAGTCGACAAGTGAAAGACCTAAACAACCACAAGAAGAATCAACAGAAAACACACTACCTAGAGAGAATCCAAGGCGTAGCACTCACCAACTGAAACACACTTCTCTCAGACAAGATTTTGTGGCACCGTTGCTTGGCAATGAGCCTCAAACATTTAAACTAGCTATATCTTCATCTGAGTCAACTTATTGGAAAGAAGCAATCAGTAGTTAGATCGAATCAATATTAAATAATCATACTTGGGAGTTGACTGATCTTCTTTAGGGAAATCGACCTTAATTAGGATCAAAGTGGATCTTTAAAAGGAAAATGAAAGCTGATTGGACTATTGACAAATATAATGCTAGACTTGCAGTAAAATGATACAGACAAAAGAAAGGCCTGGACTACTTTGACACGTACTCCCCAATAACATGGATAACATCAATTGGGATATTTATATCACTAGCATCATTTCATGATCTTAAAATCCAACAAATGGATGTAAAGACAACCTTCTTAATTGGAGAGTTGGAGAAAGAAATTTATATGGAACAGTTTGAAGGGTTTGTAGTTCCAGGTAAAGCAGGTTGTGAAGTCGCTTTATGGGCTTAATCAAACACCCAAACAATGACATGCTAAATTTGATCAAACAATGTTTACAAATGGATTCAATATTAACAAATGTGATACGTGTGATTACATTTAAAATTTTTCAAATCATGAGTAATTGTTTGTCTGTATATTGATGACATGTTAATAATGAGTAAATATATTGATTATATAAATTCTACTAAGCATATGTTGTCCAACAAGTTTGACATGAAGACTTAGGAGTTGTTGATTTGAAATTAGGGGTCAAGATTCTCAAAACTTCTCAGGGACTTGCATTATCTCAATCTCATTATATTAAAAGAGTATTGGATAAGTTCAAGTACCTGAACTTCAATGTTTTCAAAACACCAATTGATTTAAGCTTTTAATTTCAAAAGAATGTAGGTGAATGTGACTCTCAATTGGAATATGCCAAAGTGTTGGGAAGTTTTATGTATATTATTATTTTTACGCGACTAGATTTAGCATGTGCGATTAGCAAACTGAGTCGGTTCACAAGTAATCCAAATAAAACTCACTGGCTGACAATGAAACAAGTGTTAGGGTATAATAATACAAACACAACACTATGCTTTGCACCATAATAAATATCTTGCCGTGATTGAATGATATAAATATGCAATTTAGATCATCGGGTCAAATGAAGTAAAATCCACAAGTGGTTATGTGTTTACACTTAGTGGAAGAGAAATATCTTAAAAATCATCCAAACAGGCATGTATTACTCTCTCCACAATGGAATATGAACTTATTGCTTTAGATAAAGTTGTTAAAGAATTTGAATGGCTCCGGAATTTCATAGAGGATATTCCATTCTGACCTAAAACTACGGGACCTATCTGCATACATTGCAATAGTCAAGCAACAATAGGTAGGACAGAGAGAGTCATATACAACAGAAGTCTCATCATATATGACAGAGACATAACACCGTGCAATAACAACTCTCTAGTGTAATTATTACAATTGACTATGTGAAGTCAAACGATAATGTGTCAGATCCACTAACGAAATGCCTAGTGATAGAGGCTGTTGAAAGATCATCTAGGGGAATGGGTTTACGACTTAGGAAAAGTCAATGTGGCGGTAACTCTATCTAGCGGACTGGAGATTCCAAGAGCTAGATTCAAGAAGAAAAACAAATTTTTGACTGACGGCTCGACATTGTCAATCAACTCCATCCATTCTCATGATGAAGACAATGTTCAGGAGCAAAGTTAAGACTTTAAGATTGGTTAATGAGTTAATAAAGCTTAAAGTTTTTAATGATTTGCTAAGTTTTTAGGATTTGACCAAATAGTGTATCTACGAGATGACACAATTATAAATCACCTATGTGAGTGTGAAGTGTAGGATGCTTCAAACAGATTTTTATGTCAAAAGCTTATTCTATATTCACTCATGAAACCAAGAGGTGTTCATGGCTGAAACAAACACAACCATAAAAATAATACAAAGTAAAGAGTTAATTGTGTGACATATGGGTCTAGGTATACACCAAAGCTTGAAGGTTCAAAGATATCGCATCTATCGATTGACTTAGTATATCCGATATATGTTCACTATGGACAGTACAAGGGGAAACCTACTTATCCATATGCAATTGATCCTTGCTTGTAAAATACAAAATCGTCCGTGCATTCTTTATGTTATAACCATTACCCATTCATGTGGTAGATGGTTGGGTATATAGAAAGAGTTAATGCGAAATGAAGAGAAGACGAAAAGAAAGGAATTTGGAAAGTTGGGAATTTGAAAAGTCCTCTTTAGTGAAAAGGAATTTCTCCCTCATCAGTGGTGGAAAGAAAAATAGAAGAATTTAAATATATAAATACTCATATTAATTGTTAAGAGGGTTGGTGTAACATATCGTAATTCGAAATAGCTAGGAATGTGCTAAGAATCAAAAAATAATAACTTCTGGAAGGCATAGGAAATATCTGGAAAATTTTCCCAAGTGTAAAAAGTGAGTTTTGACCATTTTCAAACAGCTATAAATTCTAGATCAGGATTAGTTTGAATTAGTTCTTTATATGGTAGGAAATTCTTTGGAAAGAGCCACCGAGTGTGCACAATTTATATCGTATGAGGGAGATATGTCTATCGAAAGTTGGGCTATCAGATTAAGGACACTTTAATCTGGATTTTAGTAAGGGTAAAGTAGTCTTTTCACCCTACTATTTGCTAATTTGATTTAGAGGTTTGTTAGGGGAAAAACTAAGTCTTAAGTCAGTTTTAGAAAATTAAAATATTCTTAGGGATTTGGAGAAAAAAGAAGAGTAGAAAGAGAAAAGAGAAAAGGCCAAGAATTCATCAAGAACGGAAGATCTTCGAGTGGAATTCATCGGGTTGATCCCTATAAGGTATGTGAGATCTTTCTGTGTTGGGTTTTTCACCCACACACCGAGGTGTTTAATTCAACGCATTTAGAGTAGATTGAATGAGGAACATCAAAGATCTTGATAAACAATTGTTGGATTCTAGTTTGTTGAGTTGGACCATACCTTTAATTATTTTTTGTTTGTGTTTTCAGGCTGTTTTATGAGTCTAATCGATTGGAAATTGATAATATCAGTTATCCTAAGCGTTAAGGGAAAGATAGATCGAGAACTTAGAAGGTTTAGATATGAAAATAAGTGAAGAAAATTCAAATATCTCGTCTGATAGGCCCTGTGGAGCCGCACCAACCAGAGCCCCTTAGGACAGACTCTGGTGCGCCACGCCAGCCAGAGTGCCTGAGGACAGTGACTGTTTATCACGCTTTAGCATCACGTGCCTCTCAGAGAACCAGGGCAACCAATAGACCCCATTCTTCTCCCATGTTTCTGTATTAGTTTCTAAGTGATGTACCTATGTTGCTTAGTTAATTTCAACACTCTAAGATACATCTAAACATCATGAAATAATCCATAAACATGAGATCATGATCCTTGAATATGTAATCCAATTCAATGAAAGTTAAGATCAAAGTTAAAGAATTTACGAGTCAAGTTTAAAAGTTAAGAGGCAAGTCAAAGTAAGTTCTTAAAGTTTTCATGAGTCTTAAACAAACATTTTAGCTTTGTTTTAAGGCTCAAACTACAAGTTGAGCAAAGAATAATGAGTTGAGTTTAAATCTCAAAAGTTATTAGGGAACTAAGTATTCCCTAAAGAGTTGAGTTCATTTCTCAAAAGTTATAAAGGAGTTAAGTATTCCCTAAGAGTTACAATTGTTTTCACATTTTGAGAAAGAAGGAAGCTAGACTTTCATCAAAGCCTTTCCCTAGCTTTTAGTAAAGAGGAAACTATGATTTCCAAAAGAGCTTCTAAGCTAAGTTTGAGCAGTTAACTCAAACCAGAGAAAAAAGTTCTTTTTAAAACATATGAGCTAAGTATTTTGGGATTAGTATTGAGCACTGATATGGCGATGCGAGTTCATATTAATTCAAGGCCCATAAACCATGTAACCAACATAGACATAAGAAGGGTCATACTTTTTGGATGATTCCTTAGTTCTTTCAAGAATAGACTAGTAAAATCCACTCAGTAGTTCAGGTTCTATACCGACGGCAAGGTAATGAGCGGTCCTCTTGCAATATGAGGTAAGACCTTGTACCATCACTTAGGCTCATAGTGATGGTAGACGGTTAGAGAATATCCCACACAAACTATATTATTTTCATTATAAGTAATATTGAGTTTGTCATCGTATTATCCTTAACGAACTAAGTGGTTTACTCTGTTTTTACAAGTTTTATTACATATTGCATGTCTCCTTACTACATTATGTTTAGTTAGTATTTGATGAGTTGAGTAGAGACAAGGTAAGTTGTTTTTGATCCTTTCAAACTTAAATTTATTGTTTAGCATTCGAAATCGCATACTCGTATGTTTAATGTATTGATGCTAGTTGTTCTACATAGTCTTACGATGCAGACACAAGTAACTAGGATCAACACCCAATGCCTCGTTTATCCAGTTGACCATTCGGAGTCAGTTGAGAGACTCTTTTCATTCTTGACGACACTTTTATTCGATTTCTATTTTTTCATTTTTAGGATGTTGTGGGGTATATTATAACATAAATATTAGTATTGTAGAGGCTTTATAGACAGTCAAATAGTTAGTTTGAGTCTCTTCCTTGAATTGCAGATGTTTTGCTATGAGAATTTAAGTGCCATTTTGGCTACACAATTATGTTTTAAGTATTTCTTTTAAGAATGTTCTCATTCAATAATTGAGTTAAGTTATGTCTTCTGCTAATTTAAGTATGCCAGACCAAGGGTTCGCTCAAGACCAGCAATGGTCATTGGTGTTGGCCATATCCAGGGTGTAGACTCGGGGCATGACAAACTTGGTATTAGATCACATAATTCAAGAATCCTAGGGAGTCTTTGAATTCATGACTGTAAAGTCTTAGTCATTGATGTTAAGAGCGTCACATCTTTTATTAGGAGGCTAAAACATTTAGGAATCCCTAACTTCTTTCATACTTTTTTTTATGCATTAGAGTTTATCTCCAAAAAGTTACTATCTAATTTGGGATTACGCGTGTTTCAAATTAACATTCCTCCACGAACAGCAGCATGGAGTTTTCCAGCCAGAAGGAGTGTCAAAGATCCAGAGGTACCCAATGCACCGAATGTGCAACCTTAAGGAGAAATCACCAACACTCAATTCTTTGAGGCTATCCGGATATTAATCCAAGCGGTGACCAACCAAGTCGGTCAACATAGAGAGCTCAATAGGAAGAGGCTAACACCTCGAGAAATCATAAATTCCAAAGAATGAATCCTCCCAGCTTCACCGGTTTGGGCACTACTTAGGTTCATAAAAATTTGTGGATGAGTTGAAGAAGGTTTTTGATGTGATGCATGTGGTAGATGTTGAGACAGTTGAACTGGTCGCATATCAACTTAAGAATATGGCTAGGACTTAGTTTGATCACTGAAAGGAGAACATATATGAGGATGCACCATATCCAAGTTGGGCTTTCTTTGAAGAAGCCTTCTTGGGGCATTTCTTTTCCCGAGAATCGAAGAAAGCAAAGGTATGGGAGTTCCTTACATTAAAACAGGACTCCTTGACTGCTAATGAGTATGGGTTAAAGTTCACCCAACTGTCCCGCTATGCTCCGGAGATGGTTAAAGATATGAAAAGCAGAATGAGCTTTTTTGTTGCTGGCTTGGGTCGTACTTCAAGTAAAGGAGGTAGGGCTGCAATGTTAATTGAGGACATGGACATTTCAAGGTTTATGGTCTATGTGCAACAAGTTGAAGAAGAAAAGCTGAGGGACAAATAGGAGTAAAAGAACAAGAAAGCTAAGACTGGAATGAGTTTAGTCAACAAAATGGTGGTTCAAGTCGATCACAATTCCAGAAACCAAAGGGGCGTGCACCATCATCTTCTAGTGCACCCGTGCCCAGAAATAGAGGTGAATATTATGACAAGAATTCACAGAACTTCAAGTCTAGACCAACCCAGTCCCAAGGTAGTGTGGCACAAGGAGGTAGTTGGGCTTCTACATGTGGTAAGTGTGGTAGAAACCACGCTGGCAAGTGTAGTGATGGCCACTTAAGTTGCTTAAAGTGTGGTCAAGAGGGGAACTACATGAGAGAGTTTCCTAAGAATAAGTAGGGAGGTGGAAATACGGAAATAGAGCCCAATATTCATCAGTTGCTCCACCATAAAGGGATGCACCTAGAGGAGCAACTTCTGGTACTGGCATAGGGGAAAATTATCTCTATGCAATCACTAGCCTCCAATAGCAAGAGAACTCTCCAGATGTTGTCACGGGTATGATAAAAGTCTTTACTTTTTATGTTTATGCTTTGTTATACATAGGAGCAAGTTTATCTTTTGTAACTCCTTATGTTGCAAATCAGTTTGAGATTTTTCTTGAAAAACTTTGTTAACCCTTTTGTGTTTCCACACCTGTTGGGAGTCTATTCTAGCGGAAAGATTCTATCATGATTTTCCAATTACAATCAATCACAAGAACACCATGGATGATCTAGTAGAGTTAAACATGGTAGATTTTGATGTCATTCTAGGTTTGGACTGGCTTCATGCCTGTTATGCATCAATAGAATGCAGAACTCGAGTTGTCAAGTTTAAGATTCCATATGACCCAGTCATAGAGTGGAGTAGTAGTTAAACAGTGCCTAAGGGTCATTTTATTTTATACCTTATGGCGAGGAAGTTACTTTCAAAGGGATGTATCTATCACTTTGTCTGAGTTAATGACTCGAGTGATGATGTACCTTCCCTTCAGTCATTTCCAATAGTTAAAGAGTTCCAGAAGTATCTCGCAATAATCTACCCGGAGTCCTTCCTGAGACAGAAAAATTTTGGGATAGACATCATTTCGGATACCCATCCTATATCTATTCCGTCATATAGGATGGCACCAGCAGAGTTATAAGAGTTGAAAAACACCTGAAAGATCTGCTAGATAAAGGTTTTATTCGACCAAGTGACTCACCTTGGGGTGCTCAAGTCTTATTTGTGAGAAAGAAATATTGTTCCCTTAGGATGTGCATAAACTACCGCCAATTAAATAAGGTGACCTCAAGAATAAATATCCTCTCCAAAGATAGATTATATGTTCGACCAGCTTCAGGGTGCTTCCTTCTTCTTGAAAATTGATCTCAGATTAGGCTACCATCAGTTGAAAGTTAGGGAATATGAAATTCCAAAGATAACTTTTAGAACCAGGTATGAGCATTATGAGTTTTTGGTCTTGTCATTTGGTTTGACAAATGTGCCTACAGTATTCATGGATCTTATGAACAGAGTTTTCAAACCTTATTTAGATGTGTTTTACATAGTCTTCATTGATGACATATTTATTCAAGGAATGAAACAAGATTGTGCTAGTCACGTCCAAATTGTTGTTCATACTTTGAAAGATAAGGAACTATACGCCAAGTTCTCCAAGTGTGAGTTTAAGTCTTGAGTTTGTGGCATTCTTGGGCTACATTGTCTGGTGATGGGATTAGAGTTTATACCAAAAATATAGAAGTAGTTAATAGTTGGTATAGACCCACATCTCCAACTAATATAATGAATTTTTTGATTTGGCTGGTAATCGTAGGAAATTTATTGAAGGGTTTTCATCTAACTTGTCTCCTCTGACCAAGATAACTCAAAAGATAGTCAAGTTTCAATGGTCTTAAGCTTGTGAGTAAAACTCTCAGGAATTGAAAAAGAGACTAACTACTTCTCCGATTTTGACCTTACCAGAGGGTACTCAAGATTTTGTAGTGTATTGTGATGTATAAAGAGTTAGTTGGGGCTACGTGTTGATGAATAATGGAAAGTTTGTAGCTTATGACTTTAAAGGTTTATGAGAAGAATTATTCGACTCATGGCTAAAAATTGACTGTATTAGTTTTTGCTTTGAAGATATGGCGTCACTACTTGTATGGTGTTCATGTTGACATATTCAGTGATCACAAAAGCCTAAAATATGTGTTCACTCATAAGGACCTAAATCTGATACAGAGGAGGTTGTTAGAATTACTAATGGATTATGACATAAGTATCCATAACCTCCCAGATAAGGCTAATGTGGTTGCTGATTGTTTGAGCAGGTTATCCATGGGAAGTACCACCCATGTTGAAGAAGCAAAGAGAGAGTTAACTAAATATATGCACAGACTTGCACGCCTGGGATTCAGATTTATGGATTCCAGAGAAGGATTAATAGTGGTGAAGAATGGGGATGAGTCATCATTAGTGTCAGAGGTAATGGAGAAACAAGATCAAGATCACATTTTTCTTGACTTTAAGGCAAATGTTCATAACAAAGAGTCTTAGCTTTTGAACAAGGGGAGATGGTGTGTTAAAGTATCAAGGTAAGTTGTGTGTACCTAGGGTGTATGGACTCTAAGACAGGATCATGGGGGAAGCTCATAACTTCAAATATTCCATTCATCCGGGTTCCACCAAGATTTACCGCGATTTGGGTGAGATATATTGGTGAGACGACATGAATAAAGATATTGCTGAGTTTGTTGCCAAGTGCCCAAATTCCAACAAGTGAAAGTATAACACCAAAGGCTGGGAGGTTTGGCTCAGAACATAGATTTTCTGGAATGAAAGTGAGAGATCATTAATATGGACTTCATCACAGGCTTGCGAAGATGTCGCGTGCAACATGATTCTATTTGAGTAATTGTTGATAGAATTACAAAATTAGTCCACTTTTTGCCAGTAAAGACTACCTATTCGACCGAGGATTATGCCAAATTATACTTTCAAGAAGTGGTAAGACTTCATGGATTTCCGATTTCCATTATTTTAGATAGAGGTTCCCAATTTACTGTATAGTTTTGGAAATTTTTCAAGAATGCTTTGGGTTCAAAGGTGAACTTAAGTTGTGCTTTCCATCCTCAGACAGATGGACATGTAGAGCGTACGATCCAGACTTTAGAAGATATGTTGAGGTGTTATGTGATTGATTTCAAAGGGAATTGGGATAATCATATACCTCTCATTAAAATTCTCTGACAATAATAGCTACCATTCGAGCATCCAAATCGATCCATACAAATTTTTTTATGGTAGAAGATGCAGATATCCTATTGGGTGGTTCGAAGTTAATGAAGCAGGGTTGATAGGACCAAATTTAGTTCACGAGTCCATGGATAAAGTGAAAGTGATTCCAGAGAGGTTGAACACTGCATAGAGTCACCAAAAAAGTCCTACATAGATATTAGGAGGAGGCCGTTAGAGTTTGAGGTGGACCATTGGGTATATCTTAAGGCTTCACCCATGAATGGGGTTATGAGGTTTATAAGAAGGGGAAACATAGTCCCCGGTATATTGGACCTTATAGAATATACAAGAGTGTTGACAGTGTAGCTTATGAGTTGGAACTACCATAAGAGTTGGCGTCGATTCGTCAAGTATTCCATATTTCTATGTTGAAGAAGTGTATAAGTGATCCTTCATTGATTTTACCAACTGAGCATGTTGGGATTAAGGATAGCTTGTCCTATGAATATATTCTAGTTTAGATTCTAGATCACCAAGTTCGCAAGTTGAGAACTAAGGATGTTGTATCAGTCAATGTCCTTTGGAGGAACCAATTTGTTGAAGAAAGAGACTTCGAAAGCTGAGAAGGATATGAAGAAGAGATATCCACATCTCTTTGAATCCGCAAAGAATACATATCAATATACTATATTTTCTTCTTAGCACTTTATACGACTATGTGTAAGCATGTCATTATTTGCTCCTAATTGTTGATGCTGAAATGATGTTACAATCCTTAGCTTAGTAAAAAATTTCTCATTCGAGGATGAATGTTCCCAAGGGGGAGATATTCTAACATATCTTAAATCAAAATAACTAGGAACGGGCTAAGAAACAAAAAAAATCACTTCTAAAAAGAAGAGAAAAAATTTGGAAAATTTTCCTAAGTGTAAAAAGTGACTTGTGGTCATTTTCAACCGGCCATAACTTCTAGTTCAGGATGAGTTCAAATTGTTTCATTATATGACTGGTAATCCCTTGGAAAAATCTTTCCAATGCCACAAAGTTTGCGGATTTTTGATATCGTATGAGGGGGATATGACTATCGAAAGTTGGGTTATTGGATTGAGGAAAGTTCAAACCGGATTTTAGTAAGGATAAAGTAGTCTTTTCACCTTACTATTTAATAATTTATTTTAAGGTTTTATTAGGGGTAAACTAAGTCTTAACTCAGTTTTAGAAAATTGAAATACGCTTAGGGCTTGGAAGAATAGAGAAGAGAAGAAGGAGAAAGGAGAAAAAGCCAAGAATTCATGAAGAATGATAAGATCTTCGAGTGGAAGTCGTAGGGGGTGATCCCTATAAGGTATGTGAGATCATTCTGTTTTCGGTTCTTTCATCCACACACCAATGTGTTTAATTCAGCACATTTAGAGTTGATTAAATGATGAGTATCAAAGTTCTTGATGAACAATTGTTGGATTCTTATTGGTTGAGTTTGAGTATACCTTTAATTGTTTTTTATTCATGTTTTTTGAGATGTTGTTGAGTCTAATCGACTAGATATCGAGAATATTAGTGATCCTAAGTGTTTGCGAAAAGATCCATGGGAGTTTAGAAGGTTTAAAGATGAAAATCATAGAAGAAAACCCAAAAATCCCGTCTGATAGGCCCTGGGGCACCGTGCCAACCAATTACCCTCATGACAGACTCTGTCCGTCAGGATCTAGCACGCTGGGCCAGCTAGAGTGCCTGAGGATAGTGTTTTTCGGTGACGCTCTGATGCCCCGCACCTCTCAGAGCACCAAGGCCACCTTGAGA